TAACATAGAGATCCCCCCCGCCCCCCCCCCCCCGGTGTATTTCATAATTTCTCACAAGCTAGAGCAGGCCAATTTCTCCTCCTCTATTTTCTTGTAACGGACTCCGGACTGCTTTCAATATCCCGCGCCTCCAAGAACATGCTCAGTCCTCTGGTGTGTGTTTGGTGTGCATGCGTACAGCTTTGTTCTTCTGACAAGTTTACAGAAGCATGTTTCTCCACATACCAGATGGAGTCCCCTGAGTATGCAGACCTTAACCGTGCCTGGCCTGATCTGCTGCTTTGGAGACTGACAGAGCAGCCAGCCACTTTACTAGACATGCCGTCTAGCCCAAAATCCATGCCATACTTTATCAGACAAGATAAAGAAGAAGGCCAAGGCAGACGGTGCAAGTACAGCAGAGATATAATTTTATTACTCAGTTAAAATCCCCTGCACATTTCACCAACAGGCTTCTTGTGGGGAGAGGGGGGGGGGAGATTTGTAATATATAACATGCAAATACATTACGGAATTCTCATAAACAGCAATGGTTATTTAGTTAAAATTAGGTAAATAAAGTGTCGTGTTAAAAATCAAGTTACAATTTGTAAAGTAGCAACCACATACAAAATCATTGTGTGTAACCACTAGGGCTTATCCTGTCCTTGTGATTGCAGGAAGGAAAATGAGGGAGAGAGAAAAACTCCCCATATGTGAGAGAGAGCAGACAGACCGTCCAGCACCCAATGTGCTTTCGCTAGGTTTTACGAGAATCTTTCTTCTGCCCAGATGAATGTGACAAACCTGTTAGCCTTGCATTGTTTCTTCAACTCAGTAATGATTTGCGTATTATATATATGACAGATTCCCCTGAACAAGCCTGTTGGTGAAACGCATAAGAAATTTTAACTGAGTAGAAAAATATATTTTTTTAGTTTACTTGCACCATTGGCCTTGGCCTTATTTTTCATCTCTTTGTGAAGAAGGAGGAGGAGACTGGATTTATACCCTGCCCTTCACTACCCAAAGGTGTCTCAGAGCAGCTTACAAACTCCTTTCCCTTCCCCTCCCCACAACAGACACCCTGTGAGGTAGGTGGGGCTGAGAGAGCTCTTGACAGAAACGCTCTTTTTCAAGAACAGCTCTTATCAGAACTACGGCTTACCCAAGGCCATCCAGCCAGGTGCGAGTGGAGGAGTGGGGAATCAAACCCGGTTCTCCCAGATTAGAGTCCGCGCACTTAACCACTACACCAAACTGGCTCTCCGGTGTGGCCCTTTTATTCTCTCCATGCTTGATCAGAACGAAGAGTGACAAGTCAAAGGGTGCCAGCTTCTGAGTTCCCTAGAACGGCATTCATTAGGCCAGATAGAAGTCCACATTTCCCCGGCATAAGGCAGTCTTCTTAACCCCACGGTCTGAAAAAGCAGCTTAAAACCTCCTTTCCCCCTCTTCTTTAGCTTGTAACATCTGACCTGATGAAGAGTTCCAAGGAACTCAAAAGCTCGTGCGCTGTTATGCGTGATAGGGTTGGTCCTAATAAAGGTGCTACATAGATTTTGTATTTTACACACGGGCAACCCTCCCCACTTCACCTATCAGGGCCACTCAATGGCCTTTGATTGCCCTCTCCCCTCCATTAGGAACTACCGGCCCACTGTCTGCTGGCCCCCGCCTCACCTCTTCCTTTGTAGGCACTGACTCCTTTTTGCTCTCCTCAATGGCCATCTGGAGCCGCAGGTCATCCCCGCGCCGGATCCGCTCCTCCTGCAAAGGGTTGTGGGAAGGACAGAGATATCAACCAAGACAGCAAGGTGACTGCTGGCGGTTACTCACCTTCAGAAGGGAGGCGGGCAGGCAGAGGAGAGAGATTTCCAGGCACCGCAGTACTGAGGCGGTAACTCAAGATGATATTTTCTCATCTAAGCAGCCCTCTCGGTTCCCATTTAACTCATGCATAGTGGAAACACCCCCCCTTTTACCTTCAGGAGGATGCCTCAAAGAGCCAAGAATGCAGGAGGAACTGAGTTTTGTGCACCCAAACTGGGAGAAGCCCGGAGTCTCAAACCTGCAATACCCTGAGAATGCAGGAGCTTAAGGGGAAAGCATTCTCCTGCTCCTACTGTTGAGTCCCCACATGGTCCAATGGCCTAGTTTAGATCTTCCCATTCTAGCCACCCCTCTCCAATATCAAGACTCAGGCCAATAAAATCTGCTTCCCTTCCCTCTCCCCAGTCAGAACACTGAGTATGCTAATCTTCCTTTTTCCTCAGCTAACTCCCCTTTCCTTTTCCTCAGCTAACTCCCTTTTCCTTTTCCTCAGCTAACCCCCTTTTCCTTTTCCTCAGCTAACCCCTTTTCCTCAACTAACTCCTCAGCTTTTCTTCAGCTAACTCCTTTTCCTCAGCTAATTCCTCAGCTTTTCTTCAGCTAACTCCTTTTCCTCACCTAACCACTTTTCCTTAACTAACTCCTCAGCTTTTCTTCAGCTAACTCCTTTTCCTCAGCTAACTCCTTTGCCTCAGCTAATTCCTCAGCTTTTCTTCAGCTAACTCTTTTTCCTCAGCTAATTCCTCAGCTTTTCTTCAGCTAACTCTTTTCCTCAGCTGATTCCTTTTCCTCAGCGAACTCCTTAGGTCCAAACCAGAACTCCCCCCCCCCAATTCCATGCTGCAGGTTTCTGCCTCCCCCCTTTCCAATCCCCTCCCCCCCCTCCTGCCAGCAGGTTCCTCCTCCTTTGGCTTATTGTCTGTTCTTCCGAAGACACCTGAGAAACACCTCGGACAGGCACCAGCCACAACAGAAGCCCCACAGTTCAGAGCGGGCTTAGGGGAACACGCCGAGACTCGAGCCGCCCTACCTCCGGGGCCTTCCTCGAGGGAAGGCATCGTGGGAAATCTCGAGTCTACAGCAGAGGACAATTAAAGAGGTCTAAAGGGAAATGGAGACAACAGCAACGTTGCGTCGGTCTGCTTAGGAGGGGGTGTGGAGAGACAGAGAATGCCAAGTTAGTGGAAAGTGTGAGTTGGGGGAGGGGGCCTGTTGGGGGGGGCGCGGGGTAGTGGTTTAGTTGATTATTTCTGAGGCACGGTGGTTGGAGAAAGGGGGGGCCGTGTGTGTGGTACGAGTCTAACCTTGTCGTGCTCCTCTTTGCTCAAGCTAAGGGCTAGCTGGAGCTGTAGGTCTTCGTCGGCCACTGCAGGGGGCTGGGGGGGGAAGAAACACAAAATAAGAGGCATGGAATGGGGTTCGACACGGCAGAGGGAGGGAAGGAGGGAGGGAGAAGGGAGGGAAGGAGACGAGACAAGCTACAGACACCCCCGATTGTTTGCTTTTGAAGGTGCCGCTCTGGTTAGCTACCCCCCGTTCCCCATTCCCACCACTTCAGTTGCCTCATTCTTAGCTGAAGTTTCCATCCCTGATGGGGCACTCTTCTCTCTCACCCGGGGCATTGCCCTAATGAGGGGGTGCTCCCAAGGACTCCCCCCACACACACACTTGTACCCCTTCTGGGATACTTCAAACAGAGCGTACTAACAGGAACAGAAAGCAATCATTTTAAGTACGCATGTTTTTTTAGGAATAAGGGCTTTGACATATTCTGTAGCTCCTCTGGGGCAGCCAAGTTCACCCACCACAGCAAGAACAAGAGCCCCGTGGCACCCTGAGGGCTAGCCAATTTATGGCAGCAGAAGCTTTTGTGGACTAGAGCCCACAAATACTATGTGGGTGTGTCCAATTTCTAATCCCCACTGTACCATTAGGTTCCTTGGGAGGCTGTGGACAGGTCGCTCAACCTAACCCACCTCACAGGACTGTTGTGAGGACACCCCGAGCTCCATGGGGGAAGAATATGACAAAAATGGAAACTCATCAAACCGCTGTTGCGCCCTGCCAGACAGACTCCCTCTGTGGTGGAGGAAGCCTCCCCCCCCCCCATATCAAGGTCCAGTCTCACAAAATCAGTTCAGAAGAAGGGAGATGAAATTTCTCTCTTGGACTTAAGGAAGGGAGAGGGATAACTGCCCCCAAATTGGGACGGAGAAATCTAGACCTCTTCCCGTAACTGATCATCCCCCCCCCCGGCCCCAGATCTCAGTTCCGTCTTTGAAGGCTGACCCAGCCTCCCCCCATTCCACAATTAACAAACAGGTTGGGGGTGACAGGAAGCAGGATGTGGAGGAGGAAAAGGGCAAGGAAATAAGAACACAAAAAGGGGGGGGGGGGGAAGGCGGCAGAATGAGCAAACATGATCGCCCCAATCAGAGGGGCAAGAGGAAAGGCGAGAAGGAGGCAGCGTAGCGGTCAGCGTTGTGAGGCAGGCCTTATGGGTCTCGTGGGGCTGTGACAGGAGCTGACTGAAAGGTCCGGGGGCACCCAGAGCTGTCGCCTTACTTGAAGGCAAGCGGATGTGGCCCTGAGCCGTGCCTGAGGTGAAGATGGTCGTTTCCCCTCCCTTTACGAAGGGACAGGTAGGAGTGTCATTGATAAGTGGAGCAAGGGGCCAGGGCCAGGGCAGAGGGCCCAACATGACCCGGGGCAACCCGATCCCAGTCTGCCTCCTTCCGATGAGAAAGGCAGGCAGGCGAATCTGAAGAAAGCGCCAACCCCACAATCCCCGATTCCATGGAAGTGCTTCTGAGGACGCCGAGTACCAAGAAATGCAAAATACGTATCGGGGAAGGCCAGGGAAAAGCTGAGTCTGGGAGGGGACAGGACCCTGGGACAGGCAACGGAAACATTCGTGATCCCCCCAACAGCCAGGATGGAGGGGGATCACCATCCTACGGGGCTCCGGCATGACAATCTGGATGGGGGGGAAAATCCAAATCGAAAAGCCATTTCTTTATGGGTAACTGTCAGCTCAGATAATATCCGTGCTGCTCTCATCCCTCTTTCCCAGTTATCCCAAGTTCTGCGAGGGAGGAAAAAAGCCTTAAGTCTTTTAAAAAAACAAACAAAACAAAAACGCAAAAACCCAGGATGCACTGCAGGGCAAGGTGGCAACCAAAGAGAATGGCCTGCTGCCCACCAGTCTCTGTCTCCCCAAGAGGGCCACGAGGCCCCAGCAACTCACACAACGGGTTGGACCCTGCAGATCCGTTCTCTCAGAGCCTCTTGCGTCAGGCGAAGGCTCCTTGTGCTGGGGGGGAAAGAGCTGCTATTAGGGGGCTGGATCTGGGGGATCCAACCCAGTCTCTCCTTCAACCGGGTGTGGCGGAACTGCCAGACATTAAAGCTCAGTACCCACAAGACCGATATGCTCAAGGGGTGTGTGCGTGCACACAACAGAAACGAAGTCTGTCAGACTTTTCCTCTAGCAGGTGTAGAAATTATGTCCTTGGTCACCAACGAATGCGTAAAACATTCTCGTTTAATTTTTTTCATTCACGTTTGCTTCACCCCCCTGCCACAGGACAGATTCACTAATGAATGGGAAAAGCTTCGGAAAGCCGATCAGGTGAAAATGATTTGTATTCTATTCAGGCAAAAGTATACAGCCGAAAGCCATGCTGAATTAGAACCATGTGTACAACTTCAACGCCGCCAATATTCAAAAATCCATGCTTTGTTATCGTAGAATCCCAAAAGATAATGGCTGTACATCCGTAATTTCCAATCAAACTAACAGTCAGGTCTTATGCAGTAGAAAAGAGCCAGAGTCCAGTAGCACCTTAAAGACTAACAAAATATGTGGCAGGGGAGGAGCTTTCGTGAGTCACGGCTCGCTTCTTCAGAACAAGAGTGACTCATGAAACCCCCTATCCTACCATAAATGTTTGTTGGTCTTTAAGGTGCTACTAGACTCTTGCTCTTTTCTACTGCTACAGACAGACTAACACAGCTACTCATCTTGATTAGTCAGGTTTTATGAAACTTCCCCACTAACTATCTTGGGGAAGTCTTGTGGGAAAGTTCTGATGGGGTCTTACTCAATTATTTCTAGCACAGGAAGAAGAATGAATCAGGGTGCCCTTTGAATCCTGGGAGGAAATGGCCAGCGCCTGGGAAAGGGACTGATACTGATTACAGACCAGGCCTGCTTCTGGCTTGTGTCACTGCCAGGGGAGCATACGCAACGACAGACTCACAACTGAGGTGTGATTCCGAAATGGCTAAAGGGATCATCCTTCTGTGGAGAGAAGAGGAAGTGTGCTCTGTGAGGAAGAGCACGATATTCACAAAGCAGGCTGTATAGATAATTAAGCATAAGAATTTTGGAATATTGATGGTGTTCACTTGGCTGGTAATAGGCCATTACCTTCACTAAAACCCAAAGGTCTAATAGGCAGGGCTATTTTTGGGCAGGAACGCACAGGAACGGAGTTCCGGCTGGCTCCCAAGTTGGCCACACCCAACAGGAACTCATTAGCATAATAGGCCACACCCAACAGCAGAAACTCATTAGGATTGGCTACATTAGGGGTGTGTGGCCTAACATGCAAAGGAGTTCCTGCTACAAAAAAGCCCTGGGTTTGGACAACAAACAAGGTAAACAGAATAAGAAGCCAAAGGTGGGTGTGGCTGGATGACCACACTTCTGGTAACATGGGGGTGCGGCCTAATGTGCTAATGAGCTGTGCTGTCAGGGGTGTGGCCTAATAGGCTAATGAGTTCCTGCTGTTGGGTGTGGCCTATTATGCTAATGAGTTCCTGCTGGGGTTTTTCTACAAAAAGAGCCCTGCATAGGTAATGCCAGCCCCTAATGGAATTATACATTTACTGGTCCTGTAATCAAGTTTTAACATAATGCCGTCTGTACTGACATTCTTTCCCATTCATTAGTGAACTTCCTTTAGATCTGTGTGCAGGTTTCCAGGCTCACGATATCCACCTCTGGGGCACTGCTTGCTCCTGCAGAAGCCAACACACAGAGGAAGGCGTGGGCCCCGCGCTTGTATAAGCCAGTCAGCTTTTATCTGCCTGCAAGAGAAGTCCCCGCCCATCGACAGAGCCTAAAAGGGCGGTGACCTCAGAACCATCCCTGTCATGATTTGCCACAATCCCCTTTGCCTTCCTGCCCACCCAAGGAGCCTCCAGCGACAGATTTACCTTGGCGCTTACCTGCTCCGCTTCCTCCTTGCTCATGGCCAGCGCCAGCTGTAGCTGTAGCTCCTCCTCCCCGCTGCTCTGGGGCCAGGCCTGCTCGGCTTCCACGGGGGCATTCGCCAAGGACGAGGAAGCCAAAGAAGCTGAGGGACAAAGGTTGGGACAGGAAGAGGGTCAGCGCCGTCGAGATGCACCGTCTCCAGAAGTGTGCAGGGTAGGAATGAGCTGATACGCGGGAAAAAGTCCGCCTCTCCGCAACATCTGAGGGCACGCTAATCATTGTGCCGCGGTTAGAGTGTGGAACGAGGACCTGGGAAAGAGGTGTTCGAATCCCCATTTGGCTTACTGAGTGACTCTGGGCCAGCTGCCGCCTCTCAGTCTAGCCTGTTTTACAGGGCGGTTGCCGAGGTAAAGCGGCTGCACGTGCATCCTGAGCTCCCTGCTGGAACAGCAAGATAAAAAGTTTTAGAAGAGGGTTCTGTGCCCCTGAGGGGGTTAGATGAGAGCTCCTCCATTACGTCTCCCGGAGAGCGTTACGCTCCTCAGATGATAACTTACTAGTGGCCCCTGGTCCTAAAGCTATCCGGCTGTCCTCGACCAGGGACAGGGCCTTTTCAGTCCTGGCCCCAACCTGGTGGAACTCCCTGCCAAATACCATCAGGGCCTTGCGGGACCTTATGCAATTCCGCAGGGCCTGTAAGGCAGAGATGTTCCGCCAGGCTTTGGGTTGAGGATAGTAAGGGTTTCCATCTTAGCTGGCACCCTTTTCCTCTCCTGCCACTTCTTACATCTGCCTGCCCACCAAGTAGCCAGCAGTCTGAAATTGGATAAATCAGTACACGTCACCTGATCTGTTCGAAATGTGTTATTAATGTTTTATCTTTTTTTTATATAAATGTTGTACATCGTCCGGAGTCCCGCACTAGCAGGGATTGGGCAATTAACAAATTTAACAAATAAATTAAATAAGCTTGCAAACCCCTCACATACTGCTTTGTATGCCCAGTACTACATGAATGGGGAAATGGGGGGTGGCGGCGGCAGAGGAGGGTGAGGCGAGGCCCTGGCCGGGGCCGTTGCACTGCTCAGCCAACCCACCCCCAATTCTCTCTTGCTTTGTATTGTGGCCTCTTAGCGGCAGACTTTGTACAATGCTGTACATGTCACGGGATCTGAGCAAACTGCTGTGCAAGCAGCCCTGAATTCAGCATCCTGAAAATACAAAGTGCTTCTCTTTTCCCATGCTCCTAGCCCTTATGGTCAGCAGAGAAACAAGGCAGGCAGAGTCGGGTGAAATTTCACAAGCTAGGTTGGGACATGACAGAGTTAATGGAACATGGCCTTTGCTCTGCAGCTCCCCCCCCCCCACATCCATCCCCAGCAGCTACACCTAGAAGGGCTTAAGCCTGCCATATGTTTTTAACCTTATCACCCACACTGACTCACTAGCCCAGAGCAGGGCAGATGCTTAAAGAATTGCAGAGAATTTCCCAATGCACAACATACTGTTTCTCTGCCATATTAAAAGAAAAGGCTTTTAGCAAAAAATGCACCCAGATTTTTTACATCCCATAATGCGTACACTTTTCCAGCATGAGCAACCACCACATGCCAATACGGCTTAGAACCTCTCCTTTCCCAGAGAAGGAGTTAAACTTTGCCCCATTAGAACATGAGAAGAACCCTGCTGGATCAGACCAGTGGTCCATCTAGTCTGGCATCCAGTGGTCAACCAGTTCCTCTGGAGGTCCGACAATCAGGCATAGAGGCTGAGGCCTCCCCCTGCTCTTCCTTCCTGGCACTGGGATTCAGAGGCGGACTGCCTCTGAGCATGGAGGTTCCCTTTAGTCACCATGGCTAGCAGCCACCGACAGACCTGGGCTCCGTGAATCTATCTAATCCCCTTTTAAAACCGTATGCCTGTGGCCATCACTACATCCTCTGCCTGCAAATTCCACATTTCAATCACATTGCTGTGTAAAGAAGTATTTCCTTTTGTCCATAAAGAAGGTTGTCAGAGAAAGACTGTTGGCACCACAGGTGTGGCTCAAGCGATTTGGCAGCAGGAACAGGATGCCAGTTTTATGGAGGATTTTAATTGTGTCCTTGGCCTTAAACATATACCATCTTGGAGCACTGTGCAGTTGAGAGGCGGCATTCGAAGTGCCCTAAATAAAATAAAATTTGGTAGGCACCGGCTACTGGGAGACCCCACAAAGGACAACCAGAGGGCCCTTGTTTGGCGCGGCTGGAAAGGAGGGACCCCCGCAGCGGGGGATCCGGCACGCAGCTCTCCAAACACTGGCAGAG